TAAGATCTCTCTTCAATATCTTGATAAGGATCCCTTTTTTAATCTGCTGGTACTCGCTATTTTAATTCTGCTGTAAGTACTCTCATACTCATGCCTCTGAAGTTATTTGTAACAGAATATGTCGGTTCAAATAGTCCAATTATTTTCTAGTTTTCACACTAAACCAATACACGAAGTTGTGTACTTGGCTACCGAATCACATCATTAACTCTCTTAAAAACATTAAGACTTCAAGTCTTATTTGACAGAATGAGGTATGTCATTCCTGTCTGTGACATTTGATCAAACTATTAGTTTTCTAATCACCAGTGTATTTTTTTCTCTAATCAATTTTATGATTTCCAAGATAAATTCATTTCATGGAATAAACGTTTATTCCCTTTTTAGGGTTGGGGCCCTGACGAGCACATTCACAAAGTTCCTAAACATCGCTTTTCAAGTCATAAACGTTGGCTTATTGGTTCACATCATCATAAATGTAGTCGTTTATCTGTCTCTCCAGCAATACACTCTGATCCTGAACCGAATACTAATTGGTGGATACAAGATACAGAAGATGCAGAAAATAAAGAATGGAACACTTGCCCTGAAGGTTATGATTATGCTGATGCTGAACGTACTCGAGAAATACTGTATGATTCTCGACGTGATAGATATGAATCATGCAAATATGAAAATAATATAGCTTATCAAAAAAGAGGTCATGGTAATTTAACACGATGCCTATTTGGTGCCGATGATAGTCCAGAAGATATAAATCAATCCAGTGCAGATGATGAAGATGTAATAGGTCCAATCTCTGATGTATCAATTGGTGAAGATTCCGGTGACGTAGAAAATGATGAAGATGAAGATCTAACTGATGAACGATGGGATCCATTAAGAGAGTTTATGTAGTAGCTTTATTCATTATATTTTGTTATTGTTTATGAAGTTGTACATATATCTATCACTTGTTCTCTTTATATTATCGATTTCTACTTTTGTAGTGTATGTTTATAGAGAGTGATATTGATTATCTTGTTACACCTTTTAATCATTCTTTACTAATCATAATTATTTTTAAACATACAATTTTAATGTTTTTTTTCTTAAAACAAAAAGTTACTATGAAAAGACACGAGAAACAAAACCACATCTAATTTATTTTGTCTTTCGTAATGTTTGGATCATTTTGCAATGAAAATAAATGAGGATTTGCAGTTGACGAAGTTTCACTACTTTGAATTGTTTCTTTTTCTTATACTAAGGAATACTTGGAATCTATCACAGATATCGGGAATAAATACCCGAATGTTTTAGTAGATAGTCGTAATGTGGTTTTTACTTTAGATTGTGATTTATTACGATTAGTGTAGTCTATTAATAATCACTTGCGAAATCAAATTATTGATACAAAGCTCCGATGAAGTGACGAGCTCCACTGAACCCACCCAACATCGAAGCAGCACCCACGGACCTCCCAATCAATGTTGGCCCACCAACAATTGGAGAAATCAGCATGGCCATCAGACAAATCAAGAGTGGCAAAGCAGCAGGACCAGACAACATTCCAGCAGAGGCACTAAAAGCAGACCTAGCGGCAACTGCAAGGATACTCCACATTCTCTTCAATAAGATTTGGGTTGAGGAACAAGTACCAACAGACTGGAAAGAAGGACTTCTGATCAAAATACCGAAGAAAGGCAATCTCAGCAAGTGTGATAACTACAGGGGCATCACTCTTCTCTCAATACCGGGAAAAGTCTTCAACAGGGTATTGTTAAACAGTATGAAGGACTGCGTAGACGCCCAACTTCGTGACCAACAGGCAGGATTCCCGAAGGATAGATCGTGTATAGACCAAATCGCAACTCTACGGATCATTGTGGAACAATCAATTGAATGGAATTCGTCACTCTACATCAACTTCATTGACTACGAAAAGGCATTTGATAGCGTGGACAGAACAACACTATGGAAACTTCTTCGACACTACGGCGTGCCTCAGAAGATAGTCAATATCATACAGAACTCATATGATGGATTACACTGCAAAATTGTGCATGGAGGACAGTTGACAAAGTCGTTTGAAGTGAAGACCGGTGTTAGGCAAGGTTGCTTACTCTCACCCTTCCTCTTTCTCCTGGTGATCGACTGGGTTAGGGGCGGCTGGGTCATGAAGACGTCAACGTCTAAAGGGAAGCACGGGATACAATGGACATCTAAGATGCAGTTGGATGATCTAGACTTCGCAGATGATCTGGCCCTTCTATCCCAAACGCAACAACAGATGCAGGAGAAGACGAACAGTGTGGCAGCAGCCTCAGCAGCAATAGGTCTCAATATACACAAAGGGAAAAGCAGGATTCTCCGATACAACACAGCATGCACCAATCTAGTCACAATTGACGGAGAAGATTTGGAAGATGTAAAAACCTTTACGTATTTGGGCAGCATCATTGATGAACAGGGTGGATCTGATGCAGATGTGAAGGCGCGGATCGGCAAAGCAAGAGCAGCATATTTACAACTGAAGAACATCTGGAACTCAAAGCAACTGTCAACCAACACTAAGGTCAGGATTTTCAAAACAAATGTCAAGACAGTTCTACTGTATGGGGCAGAAACCTGGAGAACTACGAAATCCGTCATCCAGAAGATACAGGTGTTTATTAACAATTGTCTACGCAAAATACTTCATATCCATTGGCCGGACACTATTAGCAACAACGTACTGTGGGAGAGAACAAACCAGATCCCAGCGGAGGAAGAAATCAAGAAGAAGCGCTGGAAGTGGATAGGACACACATTGAGGAAAGCACCCAACTGCGTTACAAGACAAGCCCTCACATGGAATCCTCAAGGCCAAAGGAAAAGAGGAAGACCAAAGAACACATTACGCCGAGAAATGGAGATAGACATGAGAAAAATGAACAAGAATTGAATGGAATTAGAAAAGAAGGCCGAGGACAGAGTGGGTTGGAGAATGCTGGTCGGCGGCCTATGCTCCATTGGGAGTAACAGGCGTAAGTAAGTAAGTCCGATGAAGTGATATTAAAACAATTTATCCTTTTGATAAATTTCGATAATACAATAAGATGAAGTTTATCAAAATTATATATTTGCGCAAGACATTTCGTTATTACCTCAGCAGTATAACACAAGCAAAACATTTGATAACAATTAGCGTAATTGAAAGTCATTTTGAAACACAATTTTTGTCAATTCATCACTGATTGGTGAAGTTAAGATTTGATATACAGGCTTAACACCAGTTAACTATAGTAAACATATATTGCAGAAAGAGATTCATTTAGACAATGAAAAGCGATGTCTTAATTGAGGGATATCACCAAATGAATAAGCCGAGACCAAGCTACTTGAAGATCTGATCGGATCTTACATGTAAGTTCAGTGAGTTAAAATGTGATAGTATGATGTGAATAGATACGATTGGACAACAATTACGAGTATTATCCTGTATAAAGATACCCGCGGATTACCGTTCGATTTACAATGTAGTAACAAACCACATCGGCATTGTGTGCATTAAATTTTGGTGCTGGGTGGTTAGACGTTGAAGACTCTGAACCTAGGATCACACTCGTCAGAAAAAAGTATATGTAAACTTGTGAACGCTATTGCTCTTTTGCCGATCACCTTCAATAGCCCTATATTTAAACATTGAAATGTTGGGTTTTTGTACGACTAAGCCATCCACGACTGGAGACAATACACCTTGTTGACGATTTTTAAAAAAATATCACTTAATAATTTCATGTCACATAGCCCATGTAACCACTGTTCAAACAAAAATACTCACTAACTCGAAAACACAAGAACACTTCAAATTAGGACATCTCTCAACAAAAAAAGCACCTAGAAAAAACAAATAATTCTTTATTGCAAATCAAAGTAGAGTTTGGGAAACAAAAGAAACATTATATTTCTGTTGTGCTTTCTTTCGAAGTGAATATGATAAAAAGATAATCATAGAAGTAATAATAATATGAAACGAAATGAAGATTCATTGATTGATTTTTATGCATATTATGTGGAATATGTATATATTTATGTAATGTATATCAATTCAACTGCTTTGTGTATATAGGCCTTTATAGCTTTTGAAATAATAACAACCGGCGCCTGACACCACAATGGTATAACATTTACACACAAATTGCAAAAGTTCATGTCAACAAAATATAACTAAACATTTCATAGGGGAGGAGTAGGGACGAAAACAAGATCAAAATGAATCGTTTAAGTTGTAACGAAAATTAATAATAACAATACATAAATAAGAAATGAAAAAACAAAAAAAAAAGAAAATACACTGAAGAAAAATAAGTTATCAGAATATAATGATTAAATTAAATGAACTAACTGTGACAGACAACATCAAAAGCAACATCGAGAACAGATCAGAAAGGAAGAAGAAACAAAAAAAAGTAACTAATTATTACACAGAATTGATGTGCATATGTATATATCTGTAAATAGTCATTAAAATTCATTGTACAACTCAATTTAAGTATCCCTATCCCTAAATATTTGCCTAACAATAGATTGCACTACAAAAAAAAGAAAAGTTACTCATTAAGGAGGAGTGTGATAAATTGACTGATCAACAATAAATAAATAAATAATAATTAACAGTCATTAATATTATCATTAGAATTGAGCACAAACAACAAATTTGACACCTAGATAATAATAATAATAACAAAAAGGGATGTGTGTGGGGGAGAGAGAGAGAGAAGAGACAACAATGACCAAATTTCATTCAACTAATAAATAAGTCATGAAAAACTATTCAGTTTATGATACCAACATTTTGATCACAAACTTTTTTCTTGTTGTTTAAAGTTAACAACACAAGAAATAATCAACAAAAAGAAAAGAAATAGAACAAATAATCACAATGTTATTAAAGATACATACCTATTACATACTTTAATATATATATATATATATATATATATATATATATATATATATATATATATATATATAATTCCAAGTAGAGCCTATTGTAACTAAGTAAATGAAACACTTGATTTCTCTTCTTATAAACCATATTGATAAACAAATTACAATAATGCACATGTATGAAATGCATAGATAAACAGAATTTCACATTTGTTCAATATACATTTACATAGATATATATTACTGCAAAAAACATTAAAGCTGATATACACAATATAAATAACAGTAAATATTGATCAATGATAATGAGACGAAGGGAGGGAGGGAGGGAGAAAACACAAAGAAAAAAGGAGCACAACAAAGAATAAAACAATAAACCAAGTTAAAATAAATAAAAAAATTTTTTTGAAACAAAATGAAGAGAAAAAAGAACAAAAATAAAAATCATTATTCATGTATTCTCTTTTCTTTATTTTTATAATTAATTAATTAAAATTAGAAATGAGCAATTGTACAGGACAATATTAAAATTTAAAAGAGAATATATGAATCATTATGAACGAGCTGTATTTTGTGTATGATGCTGTACATTATGAGTAAAATAACCATTGCCAGTATTCATCATTTGATGAAAATTTTTATTATCATCATTATTGTTACTATTCCTGTCATTATTACTATTATTATTATCAGTAGTAGTAGTAGTATTAGTATTATTACTACTAATATTAGTATTACAAGTATTATTTGCATAAATTTCATAACCAGAATTAGTATGTGTATGTTGATCAAATATAGATCTATTATTGTTGTTATTATTATTATATATTTCATGCAAACAAATATCACAGGTCCAATGGGCATCAAGGGTACGAGGTAATCGAGTTGGGATACAAAGTGCATGAAATACACGATCACAATCCCAACAAAAAATCATTCGATCCTATAATACATGAAAAGATGGAAATTCACTATATATATATATATATATATATATATATATATATATATATATATAACTATTTAAGAACATAAACATTAGTACAAGTAAGCACCAAATACATATGCTGGCATACTACTCAGAAGTTCAAACAGAAGCAGGTGGTTTTCTTAGGTGCCCACTCTTCGAGTCTTTGACTTAGAGATATAATCCACAAAGCAGTGGAGCAACTTTAGGAGATGCAATCTTATGATAGCTAGTGACCAACAATAGACTTATTATTATTATTATTATTATTATTATTATTATTATTATTATTATTATTATTATTATTATTATTATTATAAGCTTTATTCAATATTATATTTTCGGTACAACATAGAATTCTCAGCACAAAGTGTTTCAACAAGTTTCCGTTTCTTTCTTCTGGGTCGATCCTGACGATAAATATTGAGTGATAGCCAGTTAGATGTTAGCAGTCCAGTAAATAAACATCTGAATAATGTATATTCTTTTCTCTGCATATTGCCAGCGACCACATTATCTCTTATTGAGCTTTTAGTAACTTTGACAACGAAAGGTTGTAAACTTTTCAGAAATGCACAAGGATAGGTTATGCGATTAATATACATAATGATATATTAAAACAAACAAAAATAGATAACTTGTTGAAATATTTAGATGACAGGAACAGGTAACCCAGATGCTCAAGCAGGCCGCCCAATTCATTTGTTCCATCACGATACTGGAGCTTATGTGTACCATTAGTTTGGAATCATAGTTTGCCACTCCCACCCTATGTGGACCCACTGTGTCTACCAAGCCGTTTAAAGGGCCGAACATTCACTTTTCGTCCTCTCAATTTCGTAAACATCACCCCGCTAAGAGAAGTCATTAATTATGACTTCTCTGGAAATGGTTGTATATGTATGACCATGTAAGAGCATTTCGAGGAGCGAGGACTCTCCCCACCCTCTATTATTTCAATATTATGATACACAAAAGCAGTCTTAAGCACCTAGGGAGAATTTACAAAATAAAGAGAAACCATATTATTCTGCTTTAATTCTTCTATCTTTATTCAAATTTTACTTAAGTTTACTGATTAAAAAATGATTGATTCACACAGTGATACTATTATTGAGTTTTCTAACATCATCGTGCACTTTTCAAAAGTGGTGGATTGAAGACGTCAAGTTCTCCACAGATATGTAGTGAGGAAGGTACTGTCGGGACGATATTAGTAGCAAGATTGTTTGACTAAATATGAAAATAATAAATATTATTGTGTAATTAGACAAAAGAAATATGGTTCAGTGGAGAAAATTCTCTGTTAGTTCAAGTTACTTACTCAATCTGTGCCATAGTATACATAAATTGGTTTTACATATTGTAGTGTATAATAACACGGTGTTGTGTCGTCACCCGATACTCAGAGACGATTGTTTTCGATAAATTTGTCAAGTGATATGTGTAAAATCAATAATGCAAACAATTGTACATCTTGCGTAAATTAGATCACAGAAAAGGAAATTTTCTTCTTTGGATATGAAAAATTGGTTAATAGGTTACATATCTGGTGATCATTTACTAGAATTCGCAAATTTACAAATTAACTGAACTTAAAATTGGAGACCATTGGAACCCAATTCAGTGATCTGAAAGTTGAGAGTTCACGGATAAAATCGAGTATCCTGGATTCGATCCCTAATAATGTCGTGGCTGCGCACTGATGAAGAGTTCAACACTAGATCGCTGCAACTATCTTATACTTCGTGGTATGTAATAGTTGTCTAGTTGGAATCAGTTTATGATGAGAAACTTTAAAAATCGAAACACTTGGTTATAAAAAAACAGAAAATTGACTGACATTCAAGAAGAATTTAAAGCGGTAATATATACATAAACGAATGCGAGGATACACTATTCAAATAAAACACGTACCTCATGATCATCTTGACCACATAACCAACATGTTTTACACTCAATACACTGCCATGGATAGCGCATTGCAGCATCAATTACATGCGGAGGTAGACGTAGGCACGTATAATGTGCACTATGCCCACATCGAGAACATTGTAACATACCTTCTGGATGACCAATACGTGGATTTATATTATCATCACCTAGACAGTAATCACATATAGGCATGGATGATGTTGACGTCGACAATAATCGTGAAGATGTGGACGAATTAATAGATGGACATGTAAGACCAAGTCGATCTGGACAGTGTTGTCTTTCATAACGTCGTTGCTGTGGTCCTACATGATTCATTGTCGCTGGGGACTGTTGTGGTGGTGGCAGCCGAGGAAAAGAAGTATGACTACTGGGAACACTTGAGGAACCATAGGGCATTTGATTAAATATTGTATTCGGAGAATTCCAATTGTTTTGTGGAGATGATTGTAGCTGTTGTGATGACAAATAAGGATGGTGATGATGAGGATGAGAATAGGGAATATGTGAATGGATTTTATTACCAATCACACTATTTCCCAGATGTGAAATTGGAGAATTGAATGATGATGATTGTAAAGTGTTGTGGCGTTGTACAGAATGAATATTTGTATGGGGTAAATTATTACTACTATTGATAGTAGTATTGTTATAGTTAGTGTAATCAGTCATTTGAAATCTTGACGATGGTGATGAATCACTGACGACAACTACTGAATCTGTAGAATCTACAAATTTACCAGGTGTTATTGCTGATGAACATGATGAAGGCATAGAACACTGTGATAAACGTTCTGAGCCACTAGTATGATTATCCATGGAAGGCAACTTTTTCATTTCCACAGAGGTTAGTAAACTGTTATTATTATTATCCTTATTATTATTATTCATCAATAATTCGCTATTATCATTATCGGATTCTATGGAATTGAAATGATTAACGTGAACTTTCTCTTGATATTTCAATGGAACCGTTTGACTTGCAATTAGATCGATTAACTTTGGCTCTACAATTGATCTAGAGTCGATTGTTTTACAATCTATACGATTTATATTATTATGTCCGCGTTTGTTATTTTGAGATGATGGTGAATAAGGATTTGAAGTTTCTTTATATCAAGAAGAAGAATATTAAAATAGAAAAAGTATTGTATAATTAAAGATGAAAAATAGTGATCGAAATATTAATTATGATATACATATTCTTTAGTTAATTTGCTTTTTCTGAATAGCCTATCTATATATGACCATAGTTATAGAATGAGAAGTTTCTTGTGAACGGTATATGTCACAGGTTGAAATCATGAGTCAATTGAAGCTAGACCACCATGGAAAACCTGGAAGCACTGAACAGTCGTTTCGTCCTAGTATGGGACTCCCCAGCATTAACATCGTTGGATGCCGGCTCACTGGTTTAATGGTCAAGTGCTCGCGCGCGAAACCAGTAGGTCCTGGGTTCGAATCTCGCGGGGTGCGGGATCGTGGATGCGCATTGTTGAGGAGTCCCATACTAGGACGAAACGACCGTCCAATGCTTCCAGGTTTTCCATGGTGGTCTAGCTTCAATTGACTCACGATTTCAACCTGTGAAATTTCTAAAAATCTCCATAAAACCCATTCTGATAACGGTACACGTCTTTGACTTTCTATTCACTACATACGTGTGTTTCATCAAAAACGCTTGTGTATAATCGATTTAAATCAATATATTATGCATGTTTAATTCATTATTTCATACACATAGTTCCCTTTATTATCTTAAATAGAGCAAGAACAAAGATTGATGCAGAATAATTTGAATTCATTTTATTTCGTTAGGTCCTCATCAGCTGCTTACAACCTAAATTATTTGAAAATTCAAATTATTACAGATATTGACATATTTATACATAAGAGTGTGATTAAGGATCAATACATGTGTATGATGATGTAACGAAGATTCAGATAGAGTTAATGAGCTCATAAAATGTTTGATTCGAATAAATAAATAAAGTTTGAGAGGGAAAGTTCCAGAACATTGAAATAGTGATTAGAACTCATGAAAATAGATTAATGGTAATAAAGAAAATATGAATTGAAATCAATCATTTATGTATGATGTAATTTATATTTCAGAAAGAGTTGCAATAATGACGTAATAAATAAATAAATAGGAGCAAATTAATAGAAAGAGTGGGGGTTATTGTTACCAGGGTAAAGAAAGATTTATTACTGTCTCTTTTTGTATACATAGATCTTGTTTTAAGCGTTTGATTGCTAACGCTTCAGCGAATTTCAAAAGGTTCGAGTTTGATTGTTTGTTAATCACCTTGAAGGACTTCAGTATATCAGCTTTATGTCCTGTATCAAGGAGATGTCTTGCGATAGCACTGTTGAATGCGTTCAGTCCATTTAACCTTAAACTTTTCGGAATATGTTCTTTGAATCGGACGTAGGCTCTCCTTTCTGTTCTACCAATGTAACTGCTTTGGCAGGTACATGTAAATTTGTATACACAGTTGGTGGTAACATGAAAGGGACCCTGGTAACAATAACCCCCACTCTTTCTATTAATTTGCTCCTATTTATTTATTTATTACGTCATTATTGCAACTCTTTCTGAAATATAAATTACATCATACATAAATGATTGATTTCAATTCATATTTTCTTTATTACCATTAATCTATTTTCATGAGTTCTAATCACTATTTCAATGTTCTGGAACTTTCCCTCTCAAACTTTATTTATTTATTCGAATCAAACATTTTATGAGCTCATTAACTCTATCCGAATCTTCGCTACATCATCATACACATGTATTGATCCTTAATCACACTCTTATGTATAAATATGTCAATATCTGTAATAATTTGAATTTTCAAATAATTTAGGTTGTAAGCAGCTGATGAGGACCTAACGAAATAAAATGAATTCATATTATTCTGCACCAATCTTTGTTCTTGCTCTATTTAAGATAATTCATTATTTGTTGTACTGTCTGAATATATCTTTCTAACTCTCTTTGTAAGAGACTTTAAACATGTTTCTCAAGTAATAAATGATTTCGAATTGAAAGGAAATTTATGTTTTGGATATATTGATGGATTTTTTTTAAACATATATCTTTCCTGTTTAACAAGATCCTATTGTTGTCATACTCTTCGTCACAAATGAATATAATAGATAGGCAGGTATACATTAGTATATACATTGATATTCTGATCGACAATAAAACATGTCGTTGGTAAAACTGTAGTATAAATCAAAGTACTCGATGACAACGAAAAAATATTAACGCTCTATATTAGCTGATACAGCAAAACTAGAAAATGGACCAAACAGGTAGCTATGAACAGAATAAAACACCTTCAACGTCTCCATCAGTGCAAACATGACATTATATGAGCATAAAAATTATTTGTCAATCAATCCAGTCTAAGTGAATACCATATGATTTTAGAAAACAAAAAAATCAGTAGTAAATATTAAGTAGGTAAGTGGATAACGCGATGGCATTTGAAGCGAACGGTACTGGGTTCGAGTCCTGGAGTGAACATCAACTCGGGTGCAGGTGCATCCATCTGACGAATCCCAAATAGGAAGAAACGTGCGTCCTGAATTCCACTGCTAGCCACTATCCATCATGCCCCCAAATGCCCTGGTACGGCCGAGAGTGAGGAGAGTCCGCCCCCCCCTCTCCAAATGCTCTCCCACATGACCACGCGTATATAGCTTTTGCCAGGGAATTCCTACTCACTGCATTCTCGCGGCATCACTGTTGTTTACGAAATTAAGAGGACGAAAAGAGAATGTCCGGCGCTTTAACAGGGTCAGTGGACATGGAGAGTCCACCTAGGGGAGTTGGAAAACGCTAATTCCAAACCAATAGTGCACATGGGCTACAGTATCCTGAGTGAACAAATGGCGTATGAACCAATCGTTGGTCACCGACTACCATGGGACTGCATCTCCTTACGATGCTCCACTGACTTGTGGATCAGACCTTCAGGTCGAAGGCTCCGGGTGTGGCCCACTAAGAAAACCACCTGCTTCTGTTTGGGCACCCGGGCAGTATCACAGCTCTCACACAAATCAAATGAGATTTGTGTGGCGCATATGTATTTGGTGCCTCCTTGTACCAGTATCTATATATTCAAATAAATAAATAAATAAAGTAGTAAATATTCAACTTACTGGAGTATTGTGACGATAAGATACTGTTGGATCTGTCATCTTGTTCAGAAGAGATTTGATATTCGTTAGGATAGTGGGAGTTCACTAATTTATCACGTGATTTCGACGAAGCAGTCGAACCTTTTTCACAACAAAAAGAAACAAGAACAGTTGGTGGTGACAACAGTAATACAAGAAACAGGAATCGTGTGATACATTATCGGATACAGCTCATTCAGTCAGTCGTCTCCAACGTAGGACCAGGCAAACATATATATCGGTCCAAGTTGCCACACCTTATTGGCACAAGATTAACACCAAATTCATAGAAGTAATATATAAAAGAGAGATTGTGTATAAGGATATAATGCAGGAAGGAAGAATTAGTTCGAGGAAAGAAAGATATAAAGCAACCTCAATCTCATAGTTTAAAGAAAGATAAAGAGTGTATATACCGACGCCATTAAGATCGATTCTGAGCCATGTCAGTAGATACCTTACAATCCTTTAGGGTGATTAGTAAGCAGCCAAACTCCAGTCCTCTGAATTTTGCTGAAGCCATTGCCAACAGGCGTCAAAAACCTGACCTATGTATTCAAAAAGAGACGGTGGTTATTCTTTCCTTGCCCTGGTGACAAATATTCCTTCACTGCACCATAAAAGTTTTTTTATTTTTTCTTTCGCATTTATTACATCATTGACTCTATTTTATTTTTTCAACTATCTTTCAAATTAATAATCTTTCAACTGAACTCTACTCACTACATTCCTTCAATGTTATTCATTATGTAATCGATTGTTTCTAACCCACTTTTGAACTGTTGTCACAATTAATGTTGTAGAATATTCTTTCACATTAGGTATATATTTACAATATTCAGTTAGCAATTTAAACCCATTATGTAATTATGATTTTTAAATATCACAGGTTGTAAGCAGCTGACGAGAACCTACGAAATGAAATGAATTCATGCTATTCTGCTAGAATCTTTGTTCTTGCTCTTTTCACCATGTCAGTCAGTCAGCTACAACGTGAGACCAGGCACATTTATGCATCGGTCCAAGTTGCCATACCTCATTAACACAACAAGATGGACACCGGATTCATAAAAGTAGTTAATTCACTTGTAGTAATATATAAAAGAAAGATCGCAATAAGGATATAGTACGGGAAGAAAGAATTAGTTCATAGAAAGAAAGATATGAAGCGATTTTAATCTCTTAGTTTAAGGGAAGACAGGGAGTGTATACACCGACGCCATTGTGATGGATTCTGAGCCATGTCACCCAGTCTCCAACAACTGGTTACGATTGTCACGCAGACCCCAACCAAGTAGTCTGCACCTACCAATATGGCTCCGACCAGAAGTTAATGATTTCAGGGACTGATGCCATGATTTGGTTCGGCCACACCTAACTTACTTCCAACCATCCCCAACACTATTCAGCATTGCGCATCGTTGTCAACGCGTTCGACTACTTCACTTCCTATCCTTAGTTCAGGTGTTGACAAGGCCAGTCCTGGAGCAACAACTTGCATTTAGAGAAGACGAAACGCATCCCAAACATCCTGGCATTGTTGCTCAGTGCTACCAAAAGACTCTGAATTTTATCAGCATCTTCACCAAACAGGACTATATAAGCTAAGTATTCTAAATCGATATTCCCACCTCCTGGAAGGAGATCAATTACCGAAAATCCATAAGCTCTGACTCGACTGATAGTGTACGCCTTTCAATAACAGACACTGCCACAGAACCTCTCAGTTTACAGAATCAAATACTGCTTTAAGGTCAAGAAAAGCTATCATTGTCGGACGCCGAAATGGATGTCTGTATTCTAAAACCTAAAGTCTAAATTCAGCCTGATTTTCTTGTGTTTGCAGTTGATAAGTCCTTGTTATGGGCCTGATAATAATCGAGGCTAGTATTTTGGACGCTATACAGATCTACTTATTCAGTATTGATGTACATTTGCATAGCGTGAAAGCTAGATCGCATAAGCAATTCCCCGAGAGATTAAACGAGTTCGCTTTCAGTCTAAAAAAAACCCATAAAAACACTAGTCATTCTAAAGAGAATCGTCCATAATGTGAATCTTTAAAAAGCACCACGATCAGACTTGGTACACAATGCCAAAAAGTGAGAACATAAAACTTAAGTATAATTATACAAAATCATCAAAAATCAAGTGGATCAGATCAATTTCCACATACCTCGATGTCTTCTAGGTCGTCCGCCACGAAGTCCTCCACCAATACCTCTTTCTTCACCAACCGGTACAACAAGTCTTGATGCTGAAGCAGATATAGGGTTTTGTGGTGTATAACCTGAATGTTGACTATGGTAATGATAACGAAGTCCTGCAGTAGATCGATAGCGTGACGAGCATACTTCACATACAAAGAAAGTTACAGTCGTAGTAGCTGTTTGAGGGTTAACAAATGTTTGCAAATCACCAACCACTCGTCCATTATTGGATTTATCAGTATTAGAAATATCGACTATTCGCATTACATCACTAACATTGGACGTATTTATGGGACTATTATTAGTATTATTATTTGGCTGATCGATATTACTGAAAACTGGGTTGACCATTGAACCAACTGTATTATTTATTGATGGAGTGTTATGAAAACTAACTGAAGGTACTGACAGAGGATTATAACGATTCATTGTATCACTACAGTTCGACAGTCTAGATGTATTAGGACGACGACCAGATGAAAACATTTGTGGACTACTTTCATGATTTTTCGACAACTCCTCTATATGCATAACATAATCATTTGAATCGTAACGACGAGGTAACGATAAGTTGTTGGGCTGTTCTGATATTCGACACGAATCCATTGGAGATGATGATGAAACTATACATGAAGATGACATTGATGAAATGGACATATTGACTGTAGTTGATAACTGTGTCCCAACATTTGACTGATTTACATTCATTAAATGAGACCAATTCGCTGGTGTAGCTGACGAACGAACAAATTTCGACTGAGATAATAAAGGTGAACTACGGTCAGAGCTGAATTGATTTTGTATGGATGACTCATATATAGCTGACAAAGATCTATCATTGTTTACTAACGAAGAATGAAGATATAAAGAGTTTGATGACGTCGACGGATGAGACGATGATGAAAATAAATTCGACGTATTCAACCGATCGTTTAATGTATTACAATTTCCGAGTAATTTCCCTTCGTGTTTCTCATTCATTGTAGGTGTAATAGGAGTAGCGTTCAACTGGAAACCGGGTTCATTATCGACATCCCAAGAATCTTTTTTCCATATACATGTACACAAACACACAACCAAACATCAAATGTACGAAAAATGTAAAAAGTAAAAATGTATAAAACACAATATTATTATTAGATCAGTATTTCGTTGAATAAAAAAATTATATAACAGAACACAACCAAACACAATAACTGCATGAACCTACCTTATTGTGTAACGTTCTAATGGTGTGTGGGGCAATAATTGAATGCATACAAGACAAACAATTACTTCATATTACGAATATTGAAGCATACATAAGGCCTCAATATTTAAACCATATACAAATCGATGAAAAAACATAATCATTTGCATAAGATGCATCAAAGCTAGGAGTATTTTATTGGCAAAGCGGAACTAACGCTGGGCCAATGATAAACGTACAACTGCTTCAAGGTCACGGTGCATTTTTAAAATTACGGCTGGAAATTAAGTTCAGGAGTTAAGATTAAGACAAAAGCTATAATCCAAATATCTTAAAACGTATGTTATGAATCCTAGTCTTAATATAATAAATAATTTACCAGGCTTGGCTGTCTTCTGATTGGTCAGATGAATTAAGATTACAGGGTCGCTTGACGGATCACTCATTTTTCCTAATATTATCTATAAACTTTACATTAAGATCAAGATTGATAAAATAAACTTCGAACTACGATTGACTACTAGTTGACCACTGAGTCTAGACAAACTACTAAGCAACTGTAGCAGATTAATACATCGATATTGAGGAAACAAGTGCACGGGACAAAGATAAAACTTAGCAAGGTCATCCATCACTCCGCTAGTATAGTGATCTAGCGATAAAATCATATGATAGTTAGACAAGAGACATTGTTGGTCTGTTCAAGAAATATGCTTAAAGAGGTAATTGATTATAGTGATACAACTAAGTCAAGTCTGTATATGAAAATTAGTTAAAGATTTTCTTTGTTTTGTTTAAAGAAAAGAAAAGAAAAGAAAATTCATGATTAGCATACTAATACAAATAGGTACAGAGAGAACTAGGGTACGTTACTGTAATTTTTATTTGCAAAATAGCTAAGATACTGTTTGGATATTCGAATCGAAGTAGAGACATTCTTCATGTGTTTATCTAGAAGCGCCTTAGACCTATGATCCAATTAACAATCCATTAAAGAAATGAATTTTCATCATATCAAGTAGCAATGTCGTAGGCTCATAAATTATTCATCCATTTAGTAACCTTAAATTCATGTGTACCATTAGCATGTACTTAAGGTTTTATAATACCTTCACCTGTATTCATCTTCATAGCGTGATGTATGATATGACTGATATCTATTGAGTGAAACATTATCCTATTTTAGTGAAAAGAGTGGGTGAATCTTTTGAGAAAACAGACTTTATCGAATTTATTCTCAGGCACACACATACATGAATATAATGAAAATGTAAAGACAAAAACAGATAATGGAATTACCGTTGCATTCGTTTAGCTTGTCTCTAACAATTCCATAACGTTGAAGCCCTTTCCAACTATCACTCATATGTCTAGTACCAAGACGAGAAATAGCCCGACTACCACGACGTCCAACAGAAGGACTAGATTTAGCATAGGTATAAGATAGATCATCCATACGTGAATCGTTTGCCTGGGGTAATTGATAAAAGTGTATACGGATGGTTCGAACAATGGAGTGAAACAATTAAAAATGTATTAGACAGATAGTGCATCAAAAATATGCCATTTATGAGGACTATGTAGCATTTTTTTCGCTAACAGATTGTAAAATTGTCGAAATATCGCCGGTAATTTCATCTGGGTGATTTTAATAACTGGGTTGATACACTACATTGAACACCTAGCAAAGAAGTCATGTTACAACTGTAATCTTCCAAATGTTCATATCTTTTGAATAAATGGTATTTTTGATTTTTTGAGCTTCGATGTACCAGGGTTATAATTGCTTAAGTTTAAATAGCTTGGTAAGTTACTACTTAAGCTCACCATGATTTGTAAGCAGAATTATTTGACTTTTAGCAATAAAGCTTCCTATTTATTCTTTGCCTTTTTTCCTCTGTATAGTTGTGTTTATCGAGCGTCGTAAAAGGTGAACTAGAGGCTGAATCCGATAGTAGAACAAAACATAACATTAATGATAGTAAATAATTCACAGAGATATTTGTTGGGACGATACATATGACGTGTACGAACCTCTGAAGATAGGTTCGTGACATATTTAGAATTTGACCAACCTTCTACATCATACATACCAGAATACATTCAGAATAATTATTTGTGAAATGTGTTTACATTATGAAAATAACATTAGAAAAAGATCAGTTGTTAAGTCATCTTAACTCCAAAGAATTATAAAATGTGTAACAGACACTGATATTATTTAAGCAATCACTGAGGTAAACAGATCTTAAGCCACCTTTCAACAACAAAATTCATAGGACACGAGTTGAGAAAAAGCCGATTCTCATATGACTAGGTAAGATTTGAGTAGTCTGAATGTCAGTAGAGATCATTTAATGGGGTCGATCATGATACACACTCACTCAATAATGAACTAATAGCTAACATACGGATAGAAAAAGAAATCAGTTATTAAGTAGTCAAATATCAGTAGACTGAAATCACAAGTACTTTAGTTAAGTCAACGTTTCATAAAAAATTAGGAAATGTTACAAATAGTGATCGATCATTGAAAAAGCACTCACTTGAAGTCGACCTGAAAATGGACGGCCAAGGTGACGTTTCGTAAATCTTCTACCTCCTAAGCGACTACTGAGTGCAGGGAAATTTTGGGACGAACGATTAACTTTCTGATTGACGATTTTTCGATTATATTTTGTCACTTTCAATGAATATACAGGTCGTGTTTTGCCTCTTCTTCCGTCGCCACTCATAACGAGACCATTATTACCTCCACCAGAACCGTTATTACCTAAATTCCCACCTCCTCCCGTCCCGCGTCGTCGTCCAGCAAACCAATCTGCATCACTGCCAACGTCATCGTCATCCATGTCTTCTTCCAACTCGCCATCATAATCCTCTACGTCATAGTCCCGGTTTTGATTATCATCATCTTCAGATACATTAACTAAATCGTAGGTTTTAGTATAATCTGATTTATTTGACATTATATGATTACTATTGCTATGCTGTGTATCCTGACAATCATCTTGTAAATCTCTACGGTCGGATATATTGACATTATCAGAAGTTGTCCTATTATTTTTGTTCGTACGTTTAGTCATTGTCAACATTCCATCAAACGATTGTGTACTATCATCACCAGTGATGCCACCAAAAAAGCCTGGAGTATTCGACGCCGATCCTCCAATTCGACCATTTAAAAAGCATACACTATCCTGACTTCGATCACTAACAATATAATCATGTTCTTCATCATCGTGTAACATGGATGTTATTATTGCTGAGTTGATCATTGGATCATGAGAATAATCACCATGATTGTCATAAAGTATTTTTCGTTGGAACGAACTCGAGTGGACGTTGGAATCATTTGTTCCAACAAAACCTGAGTGCTGTAATCGGTTAGTTGTACCGGTAGAAATAGTTAAGTTACTACTATTATTATTAGCATTATTTCCTGTTGTATGACTGACAGACACTCGAGGATTTAGAACATCCAAGTAGTTAGCTAAACTTGATGGTATTGAGAGACCAGCTATAGCATAAGCTTTTCTTGTAACAACAGGAACTAAACAGGTTGGAAGAAAACAGAAATAAACTGTATAACACTAAATCGTGTTATATAATTATATATAGGTATATCGACAGACTAGTAGTTATAAATATCGATTTTTGAGGCTCACATCAAATACTTATGTTAAGGCATCCGAGTAGTAGCAAACTAACCGTCAAACCTAAGTCTGTGAACGTGATAAAAAAACTCATGTTATTTACATAATGCTGCCAGTGAAACAGGAAAATACATGTTTACTCGTTTTATTTATCGTCTTGAGAACCGACTTCTTGAGACTTCAGAATAGCATTTAAATGCTGCCTTTAGATTACTTATTCAACAAACGACATTTGGTATTAGATAACTGACTAGCCAATAAATAGTATAATTCAAATAATAACCTATTATCCACACCATTTTTGTACAATTTCAATAGTTATTATATTAGTAAAGCGTATCTGTATCAGAAAATAGCAAAAAATTGTTCTGTACAAAGTTAAACATGTACACCGCTAGATACCGGCTCAGAAATTGTGTTTGTGGGCGAAGTCGGAGGTCTTAAGTTTGATCGTCAGTGGAGAAATAGTGGATACTCATTGTCATTAAGTCCTATACTAGAATGAAACAGCTATCCAGTTCATCTAAATCTCCAATAACTGTCTAAATTAAGTTGTTTGGTAATTTTATTAATGTTCAGTTACAGGTAATCCATAGATGATACAGAAAAAACTGAAACGCGACAGATAAAAATGGAATTATATGTACTACAGAAATGGAGCAGAAAACAGTCAATCAATCTATTGGATTGTAGCTAGCAGTGCGATACAAGATATGCATTTTGTACAACTTCAAATTAGTCATCTGAATATACCTGCATCTACATAGTTGACATTCACACTAAGACTTAAACTCAGTGGGTATCGTTTCAAACGTTAACACGTTATCCACTGATTTATTGAGTCCAGATAACCATCAACTTGTTCAACTGATCGGTATTCATAAACATTTGAAAATCCCCATTATTGACATTCGGAGTTGAGTCCGATAAATCTCTATTGCCAAGTAATAATATAATACTTGTTGATTGATATTAAATACAATTAACCAATGATTTAATACATCAAATTTGCTTCAAAAAAATAATAGAACATGCAAATGACTTTCCATGACATTTATTCAGAGAACAGCAATAATAGCAAAATTTACCTAAGTCAGACGAGACTCCCAGAGCTTTCAATCCATTCTGTAACGTACACCAAAGTTTTTGATTAGCTGTCTTACGCTTCTTATGGGGTGACTGGTAGTCCAAATGCCAACGATAACGAGGAAAACGTAAGTAAACATGTGGATCTTTGGATGGTGATTCTGTAAATAAATCAATTGGAATAAAACGATGCAAGCCTATATACAGAGAAAGTATATTAAAAGGAATAACTTAGGTCTACACAGTATGTTCAATAAATAGGCGAATCGATATTATGAGAAGTTTATTGAACACGACTCCAGAGTACCTCAATCGTGCCCCCTTTAAAATGTCGAACATTTTTGGCGATACGCTTGTTTTGCACCAGTTTCCATTGCTCAAAACAGCCTTGAAAGTCCTCAGAGGTCAAACGTATTAGCTCTATCGTCAATTGTAAGTTTTCAATGAAATTCAAGTGATCACTGTACATGGAGGTGAGATAATGAAGAGAACAGACGTTTTTAATTGGATCAAGGCATTTCAGTGGGGACTGGAATGATAATCCAAGGTCAGGAAAACATTTGATTATATAGTCTGACTTCTGAAGACTTTTAAGGATGCTCTGAAGAGAGAAAACTCAGACTGGATTTCAGTCCGTGTATTTATTCGAAAGACTACATACAACAGTAAAGATACTTAGCTTACCTCTTAAATATTCCCTGTTTGTATGATATAACCATGGAGCTGGTCGTTGAGATATATGAGTTGCTAAATCCAAAAATGGTAATCGAGAATAACGAGTTTTGCATAAATTACGATTGAATGCACAAGTATCAGAAACAACAGCGAAATAAGTGGCACGATCAGTTAATTTGCTCAAAATTGTATTCGTTGTTGCATTATTATTATTATTAATACTAGTAGTAGTGGTGGTAGACGAAGAAGTATTGGTAATGGCTGTAGGAATATTAGTGACATTTGTTTTCGTTGTTGTTATAGTCGTTGTATGAATAGCAGTACAGTTTATTGTTGTTGTAAAATTAATAGATGTAAAGGAATGATTCCCCGTTGATGTCAATGTATTGGAGTTCATGAAGATATATTATAGAATTACGCCAAAAAATTGGCATCCAGTAAAAGAATATTATTATTAATAACACAATGAACAAATAACCATTGCCAACAGGACTTCGTTGGGGCACTAAAATTTTTTTTTAAATAAACAAATAAAGATTTATATCAGAAGGGGTTTTGTGGATATTATAGTAATTTCAATAGTTGAGATCATGAGTTAGTTGAAGCTAGACCACCATGGAAAACCTGGAAGCATTGTACGGTCGTTTCGTGCTATTTTTGGACACCTTAGTAGTGCGCATCCACGATCGCTCCCCATCTAGTGGTAAGGCGCTCGCTCGCGAGACTGATAAGTCCTGGGTTCGAATCTCGCGAGGCGGGATCGTGAATGCGCACTGCCGAGGAGTCTCACGATAGGACAAAACGGCCATCCAGTGCTTTCAGGTTTTCCATGGTGATCTAGTTTCAACTGAATCATGAACTCCACCATTGAAATAAATAGGGATTTCACTGTAAAAATAATAAGAAAAATTAATATTTACAAAAATATTTTTTATAATACATTAATTAATCAATTCAATTAGTCATTACAATAATGTATTTTTAACAAACTACTTAAATGATTCAAAGCTTGAAGGAGTTTAAAATCAAATAAAAAAAGTTGATCCAAGAACTGTGTTGAATAAATGTGTTTTCATGCTGTTGGAAACAAATTACATTTATCACGTACATTATTTATTGGTATATATGAATAGAATTTAACTTCACTCGTTGGCAGTTGATCAACATCTATCTGGTATAAATGTATTGCATTCATTTACTCAAAATTCCTATTTAGTCACATGTTTTTGTTAAAGTTGGATAATATATAACAAGCGCACTCAACTGACAAGTCTCAAATAGGACGAAACACTGATTTTGAATATCACTACTACCTACTGTATATACATTCCACACCTAGAAAGACGCATAATTAAAGTTTTGTATCAAATAACATTAAGATTATATACAGATCATGAATGATTCTTGCTTCAAACTTCATCTCCACACAGAAGTGAATCAAACGAATATTACATTGAAGTGAGTAATATTGAGCAAGAATGACAATGAATTAAAGATGTAATTTTGCTTCTTTTTTTTAATTCTGTCATATCAAATAATAATTAAACAAAGTAGAAAGAATAAAATGAGGATGGAAACTAAACATCTCTTAATGTAAAATACAGAAAATCTGTTTTTCAACAAAACACGAAGCCACACACACACAAAAACAGAATAAATAGACAAGATATGAAGCAACTTTAATCTCATAGTTTAAAGGAAGTCAAAGAGTGTGTACACCGAAGTTATTGTGATCGATTCTCCAAACATTGGTTACGATTGTCGTGAGGACCCCAACCAAGTAAGTCTGCATCTAACCAACATGGTTCAGACTAGAAGTTAGTGACTTCAAGCACTGATGCCACGTTTTGGTTTAGCCGCTCCTAACTTTCTTCCAACCATCCCCAACACTAGTCAACATTGCAATCATTACAGTCATTCATTGAAAACAAACAATATCAAAAACAATAGATTGATTAAAATAATGTAAGTAAAAAGAAAAGAAATAATGAAGTGAAAATTTATTTATTTATAATAAAATAAAGAATTACTATACATTGTATTTATCTAATATATATACATATATAATAGTTTAGCTTCCTGCTTTTTTCAATGAACGTATTTTGCGTAATTCACGATATAAAACATTTTGTTGAACAAGTGGATCAAATGCTATTTTCTCTTTACGATTAGTAGCTAGACGTGGTCGAAAACCAACTATACAATGTCCTGAACCACTAGTACTTTCTAATAATACCATAACAGTTTTTATAAATCCTTGTGATGTTGACATAAAATATAAATATGTATACTTGTTCTGTGTTATTTATATTGAGTAATCTTCGTTGATATTATGTAATGATCTGTAATTAATAAAAATATTGAAAATACATGAATAATAATAATAATAGTAAATTAAAATGTTGTTTCGTGTTATGTTTATAAATTAAATAGAAAGTACAAGACTATTTCTCAGAGACTAGACTTTCCAACTATACAAGAAAAACAAATGAAAATGATATTTATGATAATGGAACAGACTATAGAAATATACTTACTTAGTTACTAAACAGAGAAAAAAATAAACGACAGATTGACGAGAAGAGCAAGAACAAAGATTCTAGTAGAATAGCATGAGTTTTGTTTCAATTATCTTTCAAATTAATAATCTTATTTTATCAACTGAGCTCTACTCACTAGATTCCTATCAATATTTATTCATTATGTAATCACTTGTTTCTAGCCATTTGAACTGTTGTCACAATCAATGTTGTGTGAATGCCTTTTACATAAGGTACAATATTCAGTCTAATAAATTTATTTACACCTCTGCTATACTATAGGAATGTATCTTCAACAGAACTTCCAACCAAACGCTCTCATGTAAGTAGTTTAAACCCATTATGTAATGATGGTTTTAAATATCACAGGTTGTAAGCAGTTGATGAGAATCAGACAAAATAAAATGAATTCATGCTATTCTGCTAAAATGTTTGTTCTTGCTCTTTTCAAAACGATAAAGGAAACTATGTGTATGAGACTGAGGAAAAATGATTTCTAACATTGTGTACAATTTTTTTATTTGAATTTATGGATAAAATGCGTATCATTAATCCCGACGCCATTTACTGTCACAGTAATATCATTACGTTGAAAACATAAAGAATTTCGATCAATTTTAATGAAGAAGCTTATAGGTCAATAAAGACTATTTATACTTTGATGGAGTTTTATTCTATGAGGTGGATACATCCAGCTGAGCTACTAAATCTTCTCCACCATCTCAAGATTATTTATATATTGAACTCTGAATATTAACAAAGAGGCATATATAAACTCAAACAATAAAAAAACATGTTTATGGAAATGGTGTCTTAAAAGTATTTCTCATACCCCTATAAGAGAAATTTGGTACTTTATTTTAGAATAATAATAATAATACATGGTCTTATCTAAATTCTAGAAAATATTTCCAACATAATCTTTATAGTATTCACAAAAATTTTATAAGTTTAAGTAGACTTTTTTTGTTAACTGTAAGAAAGAATCATTGAATTATTACCGTAATCTAAATGTAATTCATTGATTAAGTAAACATTTATGTGCTCAACTTAGTTTATGAGAATGCTATTTTGATACTACACTTTTGATACTTTCAGGTTGTTGTTATTATTGTTGTTTTTGTTTTTTTCCATTAAAGTTTTATCATTACGTAATACAAAATACTAGAATGAAATTTAGAATTGAATAGGTGAAATAATTATAAATTTCAATGATTTCGGTTTAAGTAAACAAATGTACTTTATTTGCTTGAACATTTGTATAGCTAGAAAATAGCCTCTTGTTTTAATTGAACTAAGAAGATTGTTAACATTGATAATGATATGAAAGTACATCCAATTGACCAGTTTTATATAGGATGAAATGTACATTCTAAAATCTATTTGTCAAGGTTATCTGGTCAACACTGACAAATAAGTAACCTATATTGATCGACAAAATTATGTTGTGAACATTGCACAATTATATACAAAAATTTATACAGGATAAAACAATATGAAGAAAAAAGAAACCTTAAAAATTGTTCACCCTGTCTTATTAACAAACGCTAATATCTAATAATTACTGATAAACAAAATAAACATTAGTGAGAATTTATCATAAAACAAAAAAATTCAACTCACATAACAAACAACATACATACTGAACCATAAAGGTAAAATAACACAACAACAACATGAAATGTTTAATATCCATTGTAAATTAAAGAGAACACATAATCTTGTTTGTTTGTTTTCTCAATAAAACTATATTTCTTAACGATGACAAGGTGTTATATTTATTGACAAATTAAAATGTGTACATATAAGTAAACAGTAACATTCCTCCTAATCATATTTTTTCGTTTCACAAACTTATAAATAATAATGACAATATGACATTGGAACATTGAACGCAGGTGGGGAGGGGAGGTACTCTCCAACAGTAAAACAATCGAAAGACACATTAACAAACTGGTATATATATAAAGAGTGCAGTTTAGGTTGTAGTAACAATAATTATTATTATTATTGCTAATATCAATTGAATAAATATGAAAAGTCATATATCTCTATGGGCATCTCATCCAAATTTCATTTTCATTGAACCGATGATCCTAAATAAAAGTACATGATCAATAATGACAATAATAGAGATAGAAATAAGAATTTTAAAAAAAAACGATCATACAGTAATTAAACAACACAAATGGAACATTCAACCTTTGAATGAAAATCACTTTTTGAAAGAAAAGAAAACCATTTGTCACATTTTGATAAAAAAAAGATTTTTCAAAATAAAATTAATTTTTAGAAGACGAGGAAAAAGAAGAAGAAGAAGAAGAGTAAGAAGTACAATCATCTCATTTAAATGAAAATGTTGTTTGAAAGGAATAGCTATTGTACATATACAGTTATCCTATGGTTATAATATTAGTGGTTACAATTGCAGATTAATACAAAAAGATCAAATTCAATTAGCAAGAGCAGTAAGTATTACAATAAGGTTAGAAATCCCAAAGATATGTTAAAACACTACTATATATATATATATATATATATATATATATATATATATATATATATATATATATATATATAGATTAAAAGATTAACCATAGAATAAGTTCTGTACAACATTAAAGACTTTTAACGTTCTTGTATAAACAAAGTATCTTTGGTGCACAGACCGGCAACTGTCAAAGAAATTGATTGATGCATTGATGAAAGACATAGATTAGGATGAACACGAACAATTTCATATCTATTAATTGGATAGCCACGATATTCAAAGTATGAATGTAGATCCTAATTTATAATGTATATTAAAAGAAAAGAAAATTAATAACTGGAAAACAACAACATATTGCATAATAAACATCATTCATTATGTAATAAAAATAATAATAATGATAGTATTATTAGTAGTAGTATAGTTTAGTTGATAAGTATAAATGATTAAAATACACTAGAAATGTGAAAGTAAATAATAATAACAAACATTTATACGATCTTGGAGTCAGATTCACGGGCAATTTCATACTCTTCCTTTTATTGATAGACGGATATTTCGCCTTCGTCATAGGTGACGCAAGTTGGCAAAAGCCAATCGAGCTTTTCGAATCCGTGCCGAGATTTCGTCCGATACCAACCCATTAGGGCTGATCAGACTTCCAAGATAAGTGAAGTTGTCAACGCGTTCGACTACTTCACTCCCTATCCTTAGTTCAGGTGTTGACGCAGACCAGTCCTGAAGCAACAACTTGCATTTAGAGGGAGAGAAGCGCATTCCAAACATTCTGGCATTGTTGCTCAGTGCTACCAGAAGACTCTGCATTTTGTCAGCGTCTTCACCAAACAGGACTATGTCATCTGCGTATTCTAAGTCGATAAGTGGACCTCCTGGATGGAGATCAATACCCGAGAACTCAGTCGATGAGAAAGTTATTTCCATCAGTAGAACTATGATGAAGTTAAACAAAAATGGGGAAAGTGGACAGCCTTGACGGACACCACTTTGAGGTTGCAAAAGTAGATGACAGTTCGCCATAAGCTCTGACTCGACTAGTAGTGTTCGAGTAAAGAGCCTTTACAAGGTTTATGTACTTCTGGGGTACGCCTTTCAATGACAGACAATGCCACAGAATCTCGCGGTCTACCGAGTCAAATGCTGCTTTTAAGTCGAGAAAGATCACCATTGTCGGACGCCGATTAGTATGCCTGTGCTCTAGAATCTGACGAATGGTGAATATGTGGTCGATACAACCACGACCAGGTCTGAAGCCAGCTTGAGTCTCTCGTGTTTTCAGTTCACGAGTCTTAGTTAGGCGTCTGATAATTATCGAGGCTAGTATTTTAGATATTATATTAGTTAAACTAATCCCTCTGTGGTTGTCACAGGATGATTTTGACCCTTTCTTATATATTGGGACGATAAGTGATTGTGACCAGTTAGATGGAATAACGTCTAACTCCCAGATCTTAGCTAAAATATTAGTCAACCTAATCGCTAAAATTGGACCACCATCCTTAAAGACCTCTGGAGCCAGTCCATCTGGACCAGCTGCCCTTCCTTGTTTCAGATTAACTATAGCCTTTTGAACTTCAGCAAGAGTTGGGGGACCTACTTCAATGTTCCATTCACACTGTCTGGGAATGGAGGGTAGTTGTAGAGTAGCTGAAGGCCAGTTGAACTGTTCTCTGAAATGTTCCGCCCATCGTTCTAAACGTCTGGACTGGGAGCAGATGAGAGTATCGTCTTTTTCCGATATAATCTCACTTACACTTGACTTATTAATTCCAGTTTCTTTTATTAGCCTGTAAAGCTGTCTTGTGTTCCCTATAGTCGCCGCCTTTTCCATCTCTTTTGCTTTCGTTGCCCACCACTGCTCACGGTCGTTTCTTAGACTTTTTCTTAACCTAGATCTGATTTGTTGTCGCTCTTTATCATGTTCGGAACCTGATGGGACGAGTTTGTGAGAATCCATCAGTGTGATAGACTTTGAAGAAATCCACTGGTTCTTTGAAACTCTGTGGTTTAAGTCGCTAATAGATGTCACTGCTGTTTCCACAGCTGCCTGTATTTCATTCCAAGCAACATCTGGGTCAGCCTCGTCTTCAGAACTACCTAATCGTGACCTCAGTTGTTCTTGGAACCTACTTTTGGTTTCCTCGCTACTCAGTTCGGTTCTAATAGGTCTTTTTACTGTGGCTTTTTTGCGTCCAGTGAGGCGCAAGCAGATGCGTGCCCGTATTAGGGCGTGGTCGGAGTCCAAGCAGGTACTCCAGGATGAGCGACAATCTTCTACCGACCCTCTCCAACGA